ACTCAAGTGTAGGATGTTTGCGCTAGTTATATCTTGGTATGAAGAGCGCTCAAGCAATGTGGTAGACAACTTATCTACAGATATATCGTATAGACAGATAGGACAGTATTCATTATGAGCCTCTTGCATAGTCTCATCTCAGATGGATAAGCCGGCTATCGAATTAAAATATTTAATCCTCAAGTAAGACATATGCACACATGAAATGTTCAAGAATAATCTTCTTATATATAAAAGTCAATGTCTGTTGTCTGTTTCGCGATAAACTTAAAAACTACTGACACAATTGGTACCAAATTTTGCATGTCTCTTTTTATAAACCCGAGGAAAAATTTAGGCTACATTTTGATTAGTATTTTTGAATTTTTTTTTTTTCATTTGAAGACATTTTTTTTTACCTTGAGTAAATACGAAGCGAAGTAACAACACAAGGCCAATTAAGCTTATGGTCGCTTAGACCAATGAGCGTTCTGCATTTTTTTTTCAAGTTGCTTGCGTACTTTTTTTGAAATATCTTTTTATACGAGTGTTACTCTTTTTTTTACAAAAGTATTGAGTATTGAGAGAGAAACAACTAAATGGATTGCAAAAAATAAATAAATCAAATACCTAAACACTAATATAATACAATTTTTGCCATCACACACACTTTTTGCCTGTGGTTTATGTGTTACTTCTGTATTGCTATTCTATGGCACTTCTACTATTTATTATTTATGTACTCTCAGTATGAAGGAAATTGCACTCGGGGGAATTCTCGGGCGAAGCTGGGTCATTCGTCTAGTAAAACATAAAAATGTGTGAAAAATAGCACAAATGTAATATTGTATTGTAATAAGGAGGATAAAAATGTGTGTCAAGAGATGTATCAAGCTACCCTCACGCCACAAACATTCTCCATCACAGAATAAGGACCTCAAGCGGTCAGATCCCTGAAATAAAAAAGGATAAAAAAGCTCAGGTAAGACAACTCTCTGCAATATGTCCTCGAGTCTGGTACAAGAGTGAGTAAAACCCTCGATTCCCGGCAGCCATGAACCGGGATTGAATCCCGCATTGTACACTTTTTCTGTGAAGAACCTGTTCATATTTCTCATGTAAATAACATAAGCTAGGTTGCTCTTTTTGAGCGGTACCTAATAATGTTATTATGGAACAGAACAGGGTCTAGTACTGTATAAATTCCAATTTCTGATAATATTTGAATTTTTGATTCTTAGTTCGATATGTAAGTGAGAACAAAGTTTAACTATGGTTTATTTTGGCTTTAAAAAAAAATTATATTTAACATCAAAATATTATTCTGAATTTTATATTCCCATAATTTTTCAATATATATATATTTTTAATTATATTTTTTTTGTGAGCCTTCCAAGCTTCCTTCACAACAATGGTAGTTATATATATATTTTTTTGGTTTCTAAACTAGTCGGAGAGCACCAGCATTTTGTGGAATATCTTAAAAATAATTGAAATAAGCATTGATCTCTTAGCTTGATATGTAATAATGGAAGTAATTACAAACATAATATACATACATGCATAATCAAAATATGAATTAATCATTTACGTACTGGATATGGAAACAAATCATTCATCAAATGCGTACTCAATATTGAATCAATTTATGAAATGATCAAACGCTCATTATAAATGAAAACGAACTAAGCTTCAAAAAACACGCGCTGAATATAGAACCAATCTATATGAATTACTCAAACGTAAAAACTGGATATGGAATCAATCTAGGTATTGATCAAACACGCACTGAATATAGGATCAATATAGACATTGATCAAACGCGTACTGAATATGGGATCAATATATGTATTTATCAAACATATGCTGGATATGAAATAATTCAATGAATTGATCAAATGAACGCTGGATATGAAATCAATATAGGCATTGATCAAACGCGTACTGAATATGGAATCAATCTATGAAGTGACAAACGCACAATGGATATGGAATCAATATAGGTATTTATGAAACGCACGCAGGATATGGAATCAATCTATGAGTTGATCAAAGGCTCACTGGATATGGAATCAATCTATGAATTGATCAAATGAATGCTGGATATGGAATAAATCTATGTATTGATCAAATGAACGCTGGATATGGAATAAATCTATGTATTGATCAATCGCGCACTGAATATATGGAATGAATCTAGGCATTGATCAAACGCGCACTGGATATGGAATCAATCTATGTATTTATAAAACGCACCCAGGATATGGATCCAATCTATGAATTGATCAAACGTACACGGGATATGGAATTAATCTATGAATTGATAAAATGAACGCTGGATATAGGATCAATCTACGATTTGATCAAAGGCGCACAAGATATGGAATCAATCTTTGAATTAATCAAACGCGCACTGAATATATAGAATCAATCTATGTATTCATAAAACGCACACATTTGATATGAAATCAATATAGGCATTGAACAAGCGTATGCTGGATATGGAATCACTCTTTGTATTTACCAAACATACACTAAATATTGACTCAATCTAGGCATTGATAAAAACTCGCGCTTGATATAGGATCAATCTATGATTTGATCAAAGGCGCACTGGATATGGAATCAATCTATGAATTGATTAAACGTGCACTGAATATATGGAATCAATCTATGTATTTACCAAACATACCCTAAATATGGACTCAATCTAGGCATTTATGAAACGCGCGCTGTATATAGAATCAATCTTTGAATTGAAAAAACGCGCACTGATACTGAAATCTATCTATAAAATAAACAAAAACACCCCGGATATAGAATCAATCTATAAATTCAAAAATTGCGAACAGAATATCGAATCAATCTTCGAGTTGATCAAAATCTCACTGGATCTAAAATTAATCAAACAGTAGTGGATATAGATTAAATCACCAATCTATTAAAATAATCAGTTAAATCTCTCTGCTTGATCACGAAGAATACATTTCTTAATTAGTCAAATGACGCGAATCTAATGAGGAACCAAATTATTATTTGATCAATTTTCAATTGATTAATTAACTAAACAAGTACCGAGAAAAAATATATTAATTGGATATTGAAGAACTGAATGGAAAGTGAACTATCATTTGATCATTTATGAACCAAACACTTAATAATTAATGACCCTAATACAATATTCAATGTTAAAACTCTATATATACAGAATGGGTCTATTAATTTTATAATCATAGACCGAATATGGAATCAATTTATTGTAATATTCAAAGATTGTAAAGATGTTGCTGTATCACCTCATAAGCATAAAAATAAATAAACCCTCGATTCCCGACATCCATGAATAGGGATCGAATCCCGCGTTGATATTTTGTTTAATATGTGAATACCTTTCACCTATTATTCATTGTTGCAAATATCATAAACTAGATTGCTCTTTTTGAGCGGTACCTGATAAAGTGATTTTGGAACAAGAACAATTTGTCATTCGCTCAATCAAGAATGGAATACTGAGAAATTTTTAACTGACTTATTAATCACTTTTCAAGAGCATAAAGAAACAATTTATTATTGAATCAATCGCAATCGAAGGTAACACCATTCATGAACCAAATATATGACGAAACAACAACATTTTAATTCAATTGATTCGGTTCGCGATGTCAGATAGGTAAGTTTATAATTATATTTTCATAAAATAGATCTTATAAATGACTGCGGCGTATAATTATAAAGCTATACAACCAGTTTAACCGCATAAGTTTCTTTTTATTTATGAAAAATCATTTTTAATTTCAAAGATAAATAATTTAATATTTCTAACTTTTGGATGACGTATGAAAAGGTTGAATATATGAAGAGTGATGGTCTATATATGAATCGATGACGTATGGAGGGTGAAAAATATGAAGAGTAATGGCGAACGGAAAAATAAAAGTGTCCAGGAGCGGGAATCGAACCCACAACCTTCTGCTTACCGGGCAGGTGCCATGTCCACTAGGCTATCCTGGACGATATTTCTCCGTTCGTAACTAATATTTAAACTGACTAATAATACTTATAAATGACTGCGGCGTATAATTATAAAGCTATACAATAGTTTAACCGCATAAGTTTCTTTTATTTATGAAAAATCATTTTTAATTTCAAAGAGAAATAATTTAATATTTCTAACTTTTGGATGACGTATGAAAAGGTTGAATATATGAAGAGTGATGGTCTATATATGAATGGATGACGTATGGAGGGTGAAAAATATGAAGAGTAATGGCGAACGGAAAATAAAAGTGTCCAGGAGCGGGAATCGAACCCACAACCTTCTGCTTACCGGGCAGGTGCCATGTCCACTAGGCTATCCTGGACGATATTTCTCCGTTCGTAACTAACATTTAAACTGACTAATAATACTTATAAATGACTGCGGCGTATAATTATAAAGCTATACAACCAGTTTAACCGCATAACTTTCTTTTTATTTATGAAAAATCATTTTTAATTTCAAAGAGTTAGAAATATTATATTATTTCTCTTTGAAATTAAAAATGATTTTTCATAAATAAAAAGAAACTTATGCGGTTGAACTGGTTGTATAGCTTTATAATTATACGCCGCAGTCATTTATAAGTATTATTAGTCAGTTTAAATATTAGTTACGAACGGAGAAATATCGTCCAGGATAGCCTAGTGGACATGGCACCTGCCCGGTAAGCAGAAGGTTGTGGGTTCGATTCCCGCTCCTGGACACTTTTATTTTTCCGTTCGCCATTACTCTTCATATTTTCACCCTCCATACGTCATCCATTCATATATAGACCATCACTCTCCATATATTCAACCTTTTCATACGTCATCCAAAAGTTAGAAATATTAAATTATTTCTCTTTGAAATTAAAAATGATTTTTCATAAATAAAAAGAAACTTATGCGGTTAAACTGGTTGTATAGCTTTATAATTATACGCCGCAGTCATTTATAAGTATTATTAGTCAGTTTAAATATTAGTTACGAACGGAGAAATATCGTCCAGGATAGTCTAGTGGACATGGCACCTGCCCGGTAAGCAGAAGGTTGTGGGTTCGATTCCCGCTCCTGGACACTTTTATTTTTCCGTTCGCCATTACTCTTCATATTTTCACCCTCCATACGTCATCCATTCATATATAGACCATCACTCTTCATATATTCAACCTTTTCATACGTCATCCAAAAGTTAGAAATATTAAAATATTTCTCTTTGAAATTAAAAATGATTTTTCATAAATAAAAAGAAACTTATGCGGTTAAACTGGTTGTATAGCTTTATAAAATAGATCTATTCAAACATAAAATAGATCATTTATCAACGTTGAGTAACCGTTACTAATATAAAATGACATAATGAATATACATTAACAAATAATTCAATTGGTTCTGAATATATTAACACTATAGATTATTTCTTTTAAAAAAATAAACACTTCGGCCAGTTAAAGTTTCATTTTTCTCAACGTTTCAACAAAAATATTTTGTCTTCGTCAGGAGAAATATAAATAAAGCATTTGGCAAGACGATCATATCATCTGATGGAGTAATATCTAAGAACTAAATAATAAGGAAACACATAATTGCGACATTCATTTTTATAGGAAAATGTTTTGAGAATAATCGAATAATGATTTCTTTACTTAATAGTGATATTAAATCCAATGTATGCCTTTTTGTTATCTAGTGTTATATATATGTCACAATTTGCGTTTTTATCTCTTTAAAATAATATGTTTTTATCCTTCATATTGTCACGTAGAAATTTAGGAAAGACAAACTTCAGAATGACACAATAATTTATTTTAAGGCACCAACAAAAATTAACATTTATAAGATACAAAATAAGCAATGAGGCAGATAGTCTTTGCATAAGTTTGTGTGTGTGAGGGAACAGGTGACCTTCATTTTCTTAAATAAATATCCTCAAGGAAAAAAATATAAAGCAATTAGTATATATATATTGAGAAAGTAGTACACACAAAGAAGATTAATGAGAAAGTCAAAGAAGTCTCTTAAGAAAGCCAAAGAAGAAAGAAAAAAATTTGGATTGAAATTAAATATCAGCAACACCAAAATTAGAACTACATATAGTATGACATTTGAAAACTATCCAGCAGGTATTTCTTTTGAAAGAAACATTTGAAATTATTTTCAAAAATATTAACAGTTGATCTCTTCCCATTCTTAGGATCCAGGATTGATAATATGCGAAGTTGCTTAGAGGAAGTAAAAAGGAAAAATAGCATTAGGACTAGGAAGGGATGCAACGATAAATTGGACAAAATTATAAAAGATATTTCTATTAAGACAAAGAAGGGAATAGTAGAGGCATTGGTATTTACTGCGGTCACTTGTGGATGTGAGTGCTGGACTCTCAGAAAAGAAGTTAGAAAAATAATTTAATAGTTCAAATTGTAGATATAGAGAAAGCTACTCAGTGTCTTGGAGATATAAGGATCAATAATTTGGTTTTAAATGAAACTAGCGGATGTACCCGGCTTCGCCCGGGTTTTACCCTAGTGAAAGTTTACCTAACGAACATTTGTTAAAACAATTCTAGAAAACATCCAATCCCTACTGAATCTATACTTGGCAAGATAACTTTATGTTTGATTATCTGCTCCACCTAGCTGTACCCGTTCAAACGTTGCTGTCTTTGAACAAAAAGGCAGTTTTAATACCTAAATAATAATTTTTTAATGATCAAATGTATACAATACATCAAAATGAAAATTAACAATAAAATTATCCCTACATAAATGTCATTTAAATATAACATATGTAAAAAATAATAGATATATGGTAATTTAAAACAACAACCTCATATGGTGTAGATAACTTATAACAAGATTGCCATGTTGTATATAGAAACATCTATAAATAATTATGCGCATGATTAATCTGTGTCTTTACATCACCCTATGTAATGTAATTTGTACAAAGTGGATAAATAAATAAAATCTGTAATAGATTTAAGAGTTGAGCTAAAGCAGAGATCGAGCATAGTATTGCCAAAACAACAGTCTAAAGATGGAACTCATAAATCAAGTAGATTTACAATTCCCACAAACAAGGCCACCCACACTGTCACATGTGGTGGAATGCAGAGACCCCTCTCACACCTGGACATGCCAAGGCCCCCCTTTTCTCAGAAACGCCCATGTCACATAAGGTCACCCCGTCTTTAACCTATAAATCATCACCTTACAGTGGCTTGACAGCTCAGTACAGTTCAGTCAGTTGATTCTAGTTCACCCTTAGCGCAAGCCGCGTCGGTCGTACCTTATGTCGATCTCAACTATCATGTAGACGAGTAAGAAACTTCTATGTCTCCATCTTTCGCTCCTGGCTCAACTTTTATCTGTTTACGGAACTTTCTTAGTGCAACTGTGTCTTCGTTTTTTGTGTGGATATCCCCAGTTTTCCACTCTGCCTCGACCACGACTGCCTGTATTTTGTGAGAACTTTTAAAGGTCTTCCAAGGTGCAGAGAGGTACTGGAAAACTCTACATCCTGACTGTTCCTCTCGGTCAACACAGTACAACAAGAGCTACCAGGACTTCAACATTATTTCAGTAGTCGACAGGATCTCTACAAAAGCTACTGGAATTCTCATCTCATTACATGAGTCGACAGGATCTCATCACAGATAAGTCGACAGCAAAACATCATCACATTTAAGCCGACAGGATGACCAAAACGAAAGATGACACAACGAAGAGGTAAGAAGACTGTTCAGATAGGAAGCGAGAAAGAGCGAAGATGGAGGAACAAGCCCGACCATTCCAACGAAACGTCCAAGCAATCTCTCCCCAAGATATTTACGGAAGAAACGCCGCCCCAACGGACTTCCGCATACCCGCTAACCGATCGCCAACGTCGGGAGCAAGCTGACCGCGCCAACGACAGCCCCGATATTCCCGCAAGTCATGGAAACCGAGCAGCGATGTGGCCCAAACCCTGTGACAAGTTCCACACCTTCGACTTGACATCGTCGAGACAATGCTCAAGGCAACAAGCCACAATCAACTTCACAGAAACTACAAGCGTCTACAAGCTCTACATGGAGCGTCTTCAACGTCAGCAGGAATACAAGCCAAGACCAAGTTTCCTGACTGAACTTTCACACAACTGTAAGTTTAAAAAAAAAAAACCTACCTCAACTTTATCCTCAAGTTCAAAACTTGATTCCCTATAAATTTTGTATTTATATTTTCACTTTAAGCATTTTAAAATCAATTTTTTACCTTTTTTATACCATTTTTTAATTCAATTTTTAAAACTTTCACATTTTCATTGATCAAATTTACTTTAATTTTTAATCAGATTATAAATTTCAAGTTATTACTCTCAATTTTACTTAAAAAAAAAAAAAAAAATTCGCCCATCACCCATTTTTACTAATTTACTAATCTTACATGCCTTTCCTAAATTTACCTAAAATGGCATTATCCAAAGCTACGACTTGAAAAAAAAAAAATCCATTATTATTATTTTTTAAAAAATCTCATTCATCATAATTCTCAACTTATTTTTGTTTTACTTATTAGTTATCTTTATATCAAAAGACCAATATCTTTATCAATTCTTAAAATTTGGTAATGTTCACCATTTTAAGTAAGCGCCCAATTCAAATTATTTGTAACTCTCACGACATTGCCCTTTTATAAGAATCATTTTAATTATCATAATCAACAATTTAAAAAGTATATTCAAATTTTAAATATAAATTAACATAGGTGAAACGCATTTTTTTTTAATTGCAAAAATCGGAAGATACAATATCTTCAAAAACGCCACTAGGGAAAACAACTATCTTTCCCAAAACAAGTTAAAAATAAAGATTCACTCCAATTCACCGCCAGTAGCTAATTTAAGTCACAGCCTTCCAAAACGATTACAATCGTTAATATTCGAGGATAAATACACTCCCTCGTCTTTTCCTTTTTACATGCATGATTGGTCATCAACACATTTCTTTCAAAAAACCTTACAACACCCTCGCATCACTATCTCAAATTGGCAACAATTATTAGTGCGCGACTCAACACACAAATCCAAATCTTGAGCCACACAAGCCTCCACTTAGCTCTATATCGTCGCCACAATAAAATAATTTCACATTAAGCATGCCACATCCACTAACAGTCAAATATTCTCTCGATGTGTTTCATACAACAACCACCCATGACTTTATTAAATTTGTTATTCATGGTGAAACAGGTTAGATTTGTACCAAACTAAGACTTCACGTGACACCTTTTCATTCACATTTCTCACTTCGTGTTACAGTGCCACACCACAAAACTTTTTCACTTTTCAGGCCAAAGACGCCTTCACGCCTGTGACACCACATCTCAACTCAAAGCGTGTCCACGTTGAAAGTCGAACTTTCACCACACATCTAAACCTGACAACACTGAATAATATTTTTTCTAAACTAACTTCGAAACACAACAACTACGAACACCGAGAAAATCATATCTTTCAATTATAACAGTAAATTGCCAACTCCACAAAAGGAGAATATCTTCTCTCCCCCCTCAAGCAGTCATCTTGACCGCTAGCTTCATGATCGCCATTTTAAACAAATGTTTCAAACCAACCATTTAGATTTCCTCGAGAATCTCACAAATCTCACCAACGAGATATCACAACACAACATACTTTAAACATTTTACATGTTAATTGATAACACCAATTAAAACAATTTGGTTAAGTCTTATATAGACTTTTTAACGCGAAAGAGAAATCATTCTCTACATACCAGCATTGAGGACAAACGAAAAGATCATTTCACGTATTCCCAGTTTCAGAGTCATAGAAACACCGATGTTACCAAAGGGATATAATCTAGTCACACACCACAACTGTAACTTTTCGTCAAAAGAGACAATTTTTGTTCAATTTTACACTACTTAAATTTATCCAATCATTAATAACCTTCAATTATATTATAAATTTTGTATAAAATCTTGAATAATTATTCTCATTCTTACCTTTCAATTATATAAACAAATTTTTTAATCCAACATTTAAAAAAAAAAAAAAAAACCTTTAATCAAATTTAC